ACCATTGTTTTTTTTAGTTTTTTTTTTTTTTTTGCCCCCTGCTAATGTTACATGCAAATATTAATCAATCGATGGAGGATCCTAGTTAATTGGAAAAAAGCCCCTCCTCTTGAAATTCTGTGAAAAGAGAGGGGAAATGAAAGAGAAATGACGGATTTACACACTTACCGACAAGTAAAGGAAATGGAAAATGGCAGAATAAATATATAAAAGTAATGATGGGATATGAGGAGTTGACATCTACCGTTCAATTTTTATTGTCTAATTTGTTATTCATTCAATTAATTATCGACACGTCATTTTAAATTAACATGTCATCAATTTGGTGGGTTAGTGGTGAAGTTAATGAAAATGAACTTGAGATGACACGTTAATTTAAAAATGACGTGTCAATAATTAATTGAGTGAATAGCAAGTTGGACAACGGAGCTCAACTCATGAGATGAGTTAGATATTGCATACAAGTGGTGCAGATATATAATCCCTATTTGTCTATCAAAAGAGTAGGAAAATTAGTTTATAAACAGTGGATTTTTGAATAATGTGTAGTTAAAAAGTATGAAAAAATTTTCGATTTACGTTCAAAATATTTTATTGTGAGGATGTATGGTTAAAAATATTTGATGTAATGGTAGACAAACAAGAGCATAATGTTTAAATGAATGATTCTAATAAGATAATATTAGAATTAATGTGGATGAATATAATAATTTTTAAAAATTTTAAAATTTTGATAGTGATAGATTTAGTGTGGAATATATACATGAGAATGGTGGATGAAAATATAGACTCTCTTTAATCATTCTACACTTAAAAAATAAAAATGGAGAAATTGAATCAAATGGTCACTAATGTTTGTTTCTTGGCATGGACGTTACTAATAGTAATCTGTGTACCTTAAAGCTTAGTTGGTCCTTTTTGTAGAAAGATCTAGGGGTGGGCGCGGGTCGGTTCGGTTCCAGAAATTTTCGGTTCTTTAGTAAATGGAACCGTCGGTTCCAAATATAATTTTGGAACCGTTCGGGTTCGGTTCGGTTCGGTTCCGTTCGGTTCCGTACTATAATTAAATTTTTTAATATTTAAAATAATACTACATAAATACACCT